GAAAGTATGAAAGTAGTCGGAGGAAGAGTCGGGGAAAACATGTGAACGGTCAATTTTTTTCTCGGAGCGAAATTCTTTTTGGAATCGTTGCTTCGAAGATCGATCGTACATTATATATACGATTATTGATAGATTGCCGGGTGAATTGGAATACAAATGCCGAGGTAGATCAAACGTTGTTTACACACAGGTGAATTAGATACGAATGCGAAGAGGTAGATCGAATGATAAGACGCGGGTGAATCTAATAAGGAATAATAATTAATTAAGGAATTAATAATAAGAAATTAATAAAGAAATAAGGAATTAAGGAATTAATAATCAGGAATTAATAAATAATTAATTAAGGAATAATAATAATTAAAGGAGAAGCTAAAGTGAACAGCAGATGCGAGTAGTGTTGTCTCTGTCAGGCGAACATCTTTCGCAGATTTAGCACGCGCCAGTGGTTTCACACTGTTAGGTGTCAGTTTGAATCCTGTTGACTGCCCCAACAGGCGATTTTTGTAGGGACCCGGGTTCGAATCCTGTTGACTGCCCCGGTGGGCGATTTCCGTAGGGACCCGGGTTCGAATCCTGTTGACTGCCCCGGTGGGCGATTTCCGTAGGGACCCGGGTTCGAGTCCCGCGCGGCGGTGGCGAGAAATGGCGGCCGGACGGACTGCGGACACGGTCGACGGCGAAAATTTGGACAGTGCTCTCAAAACCCATAGACTAGAATTACGAATAGAACCGCGCAGACGCGAGCGTGGCGGGCAGCGACCCCTCCGTGACCTCTCGATGACCGCCGGGCGACCCCTCCATGACCTCTGCGTGACCCCGGTCATCGTGTCAGTGGGAGAACGGCGTAAGCGCACCGCGTCGCTTTCCGGAGTCGTTTCGGGCCGACAACAGCAGAGGTCGCCGGCGACGCGCCCTTATACGGGCGTCGCGCGGCCGCCGAAATTCGAGGCCGGCCCTTCTAATTAACTGATCGTTAATTAAGAGATCGACTAATTAGCGACCGCGTCGTCCGCGCGCATCGCTTGAGATCGCAGTGCGACGACGGATCCGCCGATGGTGTCGCCCCCTGGTGTGTCTCCGCGCGCAAGCGTAGGGGGCGCCGCGGTCAGTTTGCTCGTGTCGCGTTAGCTGCTCCGTATCGCTCTCCTGGCGTCGCCGCGTGCGTTTCTACGCGCGGCGATATATAGCTTCCGCTTGCCTCTGTGTCAGTAGCCATTATTTTTCTCTCTGTATCTCTCTCTCGCTCTCTATGTTTCTCTCTCTCTGTTTCACACTCTCTGTATCTCTGTCTCTCTGTTTCTCTCTCTCTGTCTCTCCGTTTCTCTCTCTCTGTTTCTCTCTGTTTCTCTCTCTCTGTCTCTCTGTTTCTCTCTCTATATCTCTCTTTCTCCCTCTCTCTCTTTGTCTTGTCTGTCTGTCTCTCTGTCTCTTTCTCTCGCTGTCTCTCTCTCTCTCTCCGTCTCTCTCACTCGTTCTAGGTATTCTCGCTTTCTGTTTATCTATATGATATCCACCGGGATTTGACTTGCATTCGAATACCGACAGTATGTATTAAACTATATGCAAGTACCTCCGTATTTACTGCACCATTACTCATATATTATGTAAATCCGTATTTTGAGCACTTGTATTAAGCGCAGTATTGTATTTGTAAAATTTTACCATCACCGAAAAATAAAGCTGAAATGCTAGAAACTGATCGGTCTGCGGATTCGATATTTATTTTCTCATTCATGATCACGTAACACATAATACAGAATACATGACAGGATTATGCTAACCTCTCCTTCTTCTATCCTTTCTTATATCCTCTACCCTCTCCTAAGCTAGCCATTCTCTCTATTTTGTCTTTTCCTCCTCGCCTTTCATCTGTCTGCGATGTTTCTCTCTCAGAAACTAATGTTTTTTTGTCTCCTTGCAATATTTCCTAATATTCTCTTATTAACCTCTTCTTCTTCTGGTAACATCACTTCCCCGTTCTCCGTCTTTCTCTGTATTTCCCCCTCCCTCCCTCTTTCTCTCGCTCTCTGTTATCACCTCTCTCCCTCCCTCATCCAACCTCTCCCTCTCTCTCCCCCCTACCTCCTCTCTCTTCCTCTCCCTCTCTCTCCCCCTACCTCCTCTCTCTTCCTCTCCCTCTCTCTCCCCCTACCTCCTCTCTCTTCCTCTCCCTCTCTCTCACCCCACCTCTACCTCTCTCTCTTCCTCTCCCTCTCTCTCCCCCTACCTCCTCTCTCTTCCTCTCCCCACCTCTCCCTCTCTCTGCCCCTACCTCTTCACCCTCCGCCTCCCTCTCTCCCCCTCTTCCGTCACAGCTTCCGATACTTGCACTGTATCCACACGCGGTACATCTTCAGGCGGCGCCCCCTGTTGACCTGCAGGCGGCGGTCGACGTGGCAGCTTTCCTCGACGAGCCCCGCCCCGCCTAGTAGCGCCTTCATATCGTCCGGCGAGAAAAAATAACACCGCGTGCCGTCGCCGCGCGCGTAAAAGTTGTCGGCGATGCGCCGCCCTGGTGGGAAGCGAAGTTGCGCCATGTCGTAGCGACCGTAGTCGCGCACGAGCAGGCGGCCGCCAGGGCGCAGCAGGCGAGCGAGGCGCGCCACCGCGGCCGGCGCCCTCTGCGGGTCGATCGCCGAAAGAACGAACACGCACGCGACGACGTCAAGCGAAGCGTCCGGGAACGGGAACGTCGGGTCGTCGCCGGCGGCGACGTCGACGACGAACGCATGGCAGC